AACTTAAAACCTCAGCATGATGTAACTTAAAATCAAGAATTGATGTGGGCACTTACACATTAAAAGTTAGAGAAAACTTTGGGTAGTACCAAAATATAATTTGCCAATTTATGGTTCCTGTCTCTCTTTGTAACCATACTGTAAATTATGATGATGTTTTTTTCATCAGGTACCTCAATTAGTTTCTCAATCTGTTTCAATATTTTCTATATTTGGTACTTTCTTAACAGGCGCTGAGATTTATTTAATAAAGAAAATATGATGTGAACACCACATGACTTCCTTGTATGGCCTATTAAGTTATACACATTTTTTGCTGCATGTCATTTAAATTTATTTCCTTGAATTTTATTAGAGATATATTTCTCATTCAGTTTACTTCAGTTCTCACTTCGCGGCAAACCAAAAATACATAAAAACTCAAAACATCTTCGTTAAAAATTGTAAAATACAGAAAAATATAAAACACCAAATACAATTTAAAAAAAAATTGCAATTAAAATTAGAGTTTCTACACAAAAACAAGCAATTCAGCCAGTGGGCAAAAAGGCAGATTTTTTGGTGTACAAAAGTGAAAGTTTACTTTTTGTCCCACTTGGCAAAAAGATACTGAAAGTACAGAAACTGACTTAATTCACTATTCTACTGAGTTTCAAATGTAAACAAATGGCGGTTCGTTAAACTTAACTCACCAGTTAAACTTTTAAATTGTTGATAATTCTAGAACTATCGCATGTAGATTCACTAAAGGCGTAAAACTTTAACCAGAACATTAAAAACACATAATTCAATCCCTTTTGAAGCAAAAAAATGCCCAATTTACCAACATAAAAGAATAAAAAAACTAAGCTCACTGAGGCTCACAGAGCGGGAGAGGTGCACAACTAACATGTTGTAGCAATCCCATATACAAAATCTCAATGTTATACAGTACAAGTTCTAGAGTTATGCAAGATACGTGCACACATACGTACAGACGTCAAGAAAAAATATCTTCTGAATCCATATTACAATTCTTTTTGGCAAAAACTATCTTTTATTCCATCTGTACATACAGATGTTGCACAAAAACATTGTTCAAATGTTTTCGAGAGCAGTTGAAATAGATATTTCCTTTGAAATATGATACCCAAAATTTTTTGCGATTGCAATACTTCATTTACTTCATAAAAGGAAGTAAAAAAAGGTATCTTTTTTTCAGAATCATGCAATATTACTAAACATGTTTTAATTCTCATATAATTAAATTCTACACCTCTAAAATATATTATGAACTACAGCACTCAAAAATGCATACAAATGGCATAAATGAGATTAGAAAATAGGTTTAAAGGAACTGGATCTACTCACAACAGCAATAAAATTATTTGTTTATAACTGGTTTTCTTATATTTTACCAAGAAATAGGTAGACTTAAACATCTGAATTTAAAACAATTAACTGATTAAGGAATATCACTGAACCATCAGAGAAGCTGCAAAACCCATTCTGGGAAAAGTTTAAAGGAAAGATCGTTTTTTATTTAGTTATGATATTCAACAAATAGAAGTTACAGATACAGCACATAAAAGATCTTAAATGGTTTTCATAAACTTTCATATTGTATCATTATTGTTTGTCCTTTTCCAAATAAAATCACATATGCATACTTGTCTTGATGCTAGGGTCCCATAATTTTGAAAACACTCAGTTAGCCTATATTTTAGGGTGCCCCTTGGATTATTGCCAAGTTGTTGTTTCATTTATGGTAACTTGAGTAGTTGAATGTTATGGAAACCCTATTATAATCTGATTACGGTGAATTTGACTGATGGAAAAATATTTGTAAGGGCTTATTTCAGCTTTGGATGCCAGTTAAGAATTATGTTGCGTATTGTGTGCTTTGCATTGTAAAATGGATGCCGGTGGTAAGCTGGGTGTGTGGTGGGAAAGAACAAGAGAGAGCAGAAGATGTTTTTTTGAAGTGGTTGAGGGCAGAAAAAAAGAAACTTTGTTGGATGTAATTCGATGGAATTATAAGTGTCCTGTTTGTACGAAGGAAATACGTATGGTCGAACGTAAAGATCTTTCAGATGGCTTTGAATGGGTTTATCACAAGAAAGGCTCAAATGCTCACTATATAAAGAGTTCCATTAGAAAGGGAATATGGTTTTAGGAAAGTTTTTGGATGCTGTTTAAGAATTTTATGTGCCACAGACTGAAGACACAGAAATTTCTAAATAAGGTAAGTGGATATTTCCTTTGTGTAGTGCAATATTTCCTTTTTTATGTTATTTCATTGTTTAATTTAAAATGCCATTTATTGAGATTACATATTTTTTGTTTGGCTATAGTGTAGAATTGGGTGCTACTTTAATTTTTAAGTAAAAATAGATCGATGTGTACATGGACAAAGTCAAGTCAGTGCACAATGCCAAGTTTGTACAATTCTGTGATTTTTTTAAAGTGAAAATAGATCAATGTGCCCATGAACACCTAATTTGCAATTCTTTGACTTGTTACTTTGGTTTTGTGATGTGTCCATCTTGAAATTGTGCCTTGCCAAAAATCGCCAGTTTTTGCCAAAGAGGCACCCTTAAATACATTTTTACCAAACAATGAACTGCATGCTGTTTTGTAGAAGGAATGTCACAAATTTTAATCATTTTTCCAAATCACACACACACACAAACAAACAAACAAACAAAAAAAAAAAAAAAAAAAAAAAAAGGATAAATAGCAATTAACTTATATCTTTTTTTACAAAAACTAAACCAGTTTATTGTGAACTAAAAGGGTTTACATAAAACCACAGCAAAGATCTTACGATTGAGTTATGACATTATCATTTTATGCTATGATTGAGTTATGCTTATCCATCATTATTGCTAAATTACACTGTTTGAAGACAATGCTCTTAATGTGCTTACTTACATTTTTGGGACAGAGGTAGGGAAAATCTTAAATTGCACCTCAGCCCACTGGAGACTGGCCAAGATATTTCTCAGTTTTATTAGATAAATCATAATTCTAGCTGAAGCGTTCCGTAGCTCTAAATAAAAAGGGCTCCAGTACTTTTTTAATTAAACAGAGCCAAATTTGAGTAAAAAATTCTTTTGATGTCATAAAAAAATTATTTGAGTAGTAAGTAAGTCTTAAAAATTTATTATAATTTCTGAATATATGCATTTGTTTCCTTGGGAAACACACACTTGGACACAGGCTGAGATTTTTAAGGAAAGCAAAGCCTTCACTTTAAAACCGTTTTCTCTAGGAAGTGCAATAAATTTATGAAAGCAGAATCAGGTAATTTTTCATTCCCGAAAGTACTAGAAGTTATCACTCCAGTTGTGCCATTATATCCACTGATTCAGTATCAGTGGTCAGCAGTTTTGATTACTCATAATTTACAATAAAATGGGGAAAGATAACCATTATTTATATTGCTGTGTGCGTACGCGTTCATAATAAATTAAATGCACAAGTGCGGTGAAAAATGAATAAAATTTATTCTTATCACAGCAAATAAAAACAAAATGCTTAAATTTCCTTAGAGATATTCGTACAATATCCCAATATCTCAAAGTAGTTATCTTTTAAACTATTAAAACGTTCAACAGAACTTAATTCAAAAGAGAAAAGTAATCCGATTTCACCGCAAATTCGCTACAATCATTAACAGCAATAAGTAAACAACTGCAGTTTTCTAAACAATTCATTAAACAACTGGCCTGCAATGTTTTGATCCCGCTTTTTTTAAGCTTTTTAAATGTGCACGAGAATATTCTGGTATTTTCCCAATTTTTCCCCAAAAGCAAAAGCGTACAATTACGAGATATCTATTTATTAAATGCGCGTGCTCCTGTATTTTTAATTTGCCCAGCGTAGCTTTCTCTTCAAATAAGTCTCGTGCTGCATTGCACGATAATATAAAACAATTTTAGTTAATTCTATTTAAAAATAGCTAATTCAGTAAAAAAACCGTAACAATATTTTAGAATGTGCTCTAAGTTATAATAGGCTTAAATTAGTAAAATAATATGATAAATGTCTCCAACGAGTCTAACACTTGGTGAACATGTTTGAAGAAAGCCCCCTTCAATTTTTTTTGAATGATGTAGTCATCTCTCATATTCCGGAAAAATTTTTTCATGTTCTATTATTCTGCTTGAAAACTAGAATTATACCAGCAGTGGATTGTACTCAGAAAGTATTTTTAATGCATATAGTTCTCCATTAAAATTTACTTCCACATTCTGTTTATACATATTCTGTTTCATATATACTGTTTCTAGAAGTTTTTACATTCTTATGAGTGAAACTTTAATAGTTTTATCTTTTTTTAAATAGTATGTTAAAAAAAAGGCAAATTTGCAGTTCTATATTCTTTGAAATAACATGTAATATGGTATATTCAAGGCTTAAATTCAGTCAGAGCTTAGTTCCACTATTTCTTAGTTTGAGTAAAACTGTGATCCCAGTTTGAATCCCAAATAAGACAAGGTCCAGTATTTTATTTTATTATTTAAGAATTTATCATTACTTTAATTTAAACTTATCTCTATATTTTATTTAATTTTAATTATTAATTACTTCATTCGTTATTTTATTTTCCTCGAGAACCTTACGTACGTCTTCGGAACTTTTAATTTTAGAAATTAAGCTCTAGGGGAGGGAAGTTTCTAAACTTAAAAAATATTCCAATTACTTGAATGCTGGACACGTATATACATACTTTTGTAATTTTAAAGGAAACACATTTATGCTTACTTTTAATTTTATAACAATAATTCCATATTTTTTATCATTAGCCAGCATTTTTATATACTGGTTTCAATATTAAAGAAATACATAAAATAAGCCACATAAAACTAAGTAAAGCAGTAATATTTTACAGCAAAATACACTCTTTAATGAAACATGTCAAATAATTGTCATATGGTAAGAGTTTTTGTTTACAATTTTATCATTATAATGAAATAATATATATATATATATATATAAAAACTGTTAAAGAAAAAATTAAAAAAACATAATCTTACTTTTCTGATATTATCCAATCTGAATGGGGGAGGAAAGAAAGAGTTTTCATTAGATTTAAAAATGAGAAATTCAAAATTTAACAATAAGAAAATTATAAATATATGATTTTAGATTCATACACATAAACAATTTTCTTTTCTACAACTTAGTTAAATGTTACCTGAAGATAAAAAATTAATTGTATTAAAGAACTTTTAAAGGAGCAACTGCTGATAGAATTATACAGGGTCTCTGAGAATGAATAGTGTTATTTCATGAAATATCTGTGAAGTGTGCTTTCATTTGATTTCATGCGAAAGTGATTAAAAGTACCTTCATTTAAATCAATCACTGAAAAGGTTATGTGCATGTGTAAATCATTAAAAGTTCTAATCTTACCTCATTAGACCTCTTCCTCTGATATTTGTCAAAAATAAGGTTTATAATAATAAAAAAAAAAGGTACTTACGTATTAACGCAACCAGGCCAAAATTCGCATAAATTGCCAAATTTGGCGACCCTACTTACGGCAACCCTACGTGTGTTATACGTAGTTTTGTAAAAAAGAGCATGTGGAGATTCACAAAATTTTCCGCTTTTCGTTGCAAATTTTTGTCATTTATGAGAAAATAGCAGTGTACTGGATAAAGTCAGAGAGTGTGCGCAATGCCATTTTTGTGCAATTCTGGGATGTTTTCTAAATAAAAATAGTCGACGGTACATGGTTATGGCGAATACGGTTTTTCAATCAGTGCTAAAAGAAATAGCCAAAAGATTTCCACGAAAAAATAATTCTGCAACTTATTCAAATTCGAAACCGGAAGGGTTTAATTGCTATTTTTATATTTTAAAAAAAATAATATAAAAACTGTATTAAAAATTATCTGCAATTAATAAATGTACATTTTCTTTCTATTCATAATTTTTTACTCAAACTTACAAATCGCGCCAACCTGGTTGCGATAATACGTAAGTACCAAAAAAAAAATTACAATCTTGATCATTTCAAGGAGAAAATCACTTTTGCAAATGTAAGCTACAGCACATTCTTGCTAAAGTATGGTTCAAAACTGAATATTGCTATTATATCTGTTGTGCTGTTAGTGATGTGTTCGATCTCAGTAACCTGTCATTTTCTTCACTATTGGTTAATGATACTGAAAATTGAGGAGCAACAAGTTTTAAGTTATTGGTACTTCCTTCTCTTTACAGCCTCCATTTTTTTATATATTACTAAGATAAGCAATAAATTGTCAGCATATATCACAAAAGGGAACTACTCTGATATGTGCCCTCAAGTCCGCAAATTTCTCGCCAAACGTTTGTGGCGAGAAACTCCATGCTGCCATGTTGCTATCTAAATTTTTTTTCTACATTTCGAACTTTAAGCCTAAAATGTCTCCAAAAACCATGTTTTAAACACACAATTTAAGCTAAAAATCTAAAAAAAAAAAAAAAAAAAAAAAAAAAAAACAAATTAGATAGCAAAACTGTTTCTAACCAAAATTTATTTGACAAGAGTCCATGTATACAGCGATATGTTTTAACTTAAAAAAAACATCTACGAATTGCACAATTTAGGCAACAAACGAATCTACGAACTACGCACATCTCACTTTAATAAATTAACATAACAACAATAAATTTCAAAGAATAAGATGTATACAGCGTTCTGTTTCAACTTTAAAAAACATCTATGAATTGCACAATTTAGACGGTACGCACAAATCAACAAAATAACTAAAATAAATTTCAAACAATTCAAAAAAACAACGACAGAAATTCATACTAAAAAAATGAACATAACATTCTACAAAATAAGAACAAGAATAAAATGCACTTACCATGAATTAATGCTTTTTTGAACAGCAGAAATACCAATTTCATACTGCTTTTAACATGCTGCCACGTAATCACTATCGTATTTATTATATGATAGCCAAACACACTATCCAGAAAATTCATACTATGGTTCACAAATAAATAAAACAACAAATAATCACAAATCCTTACTTCTATCATGCACAGTCACTAAAAATAATCTCCCAGACCCTCTTTCCACTCCTCCAAACACCCACTGCTCCTCAAGAGGATGGCCACATTGATATTTCCTTTTGCCGAACTTCAATTCAACAACTTCTACCATTTCCCCCTATCTTCCCCCTATCTTCTCAGACACAGAGCATGACGCGAACCAACGAAAGATTTTTTGGGAGCTGATTCTTTACAATATGGTCAACTGGTAGTTTGGCGACAATTTTGGAGGCGACCACAAAGGTGCACTACACATATCGCCACTTTGGTAATAATGTGAGCAGTACTCAGTTCCGATTACGCATTATTTTGTGTGAGGGAAATGAGAGATCATGTGATATGTCATGTGATATTAATGGACGAATTACGGTTCTTTAATCGGAAAAGGGGGGAAATCGGGAAAAAATCTGGAAATTTTGTATTTGCCTTTATTCTGTGTTGTGTGAAACAGTGTTCGTTAATTTTTGGATCCCATGGACCTAACTAAAGTGAATTCGAAATGGGTATTTAGTGGGATTGAAAGGGGTAATAAGCGTTTCTTTAAGGTTGTGCGAGATAGAAGTAAAGATGTTTTATTAAGTTATTTATTTTACCTGGTACCTTGGTGTGAACTATAAGTAGGATTTTAAAGATCCTGAAACAGAAATGAGAAAAGTTTATCGGACACGTAATCAAGATTCTGAAGAGAATAGGTAAGTTAGTATTTTTAATTATTTGAGGATATTATTTTTATGCATTGTTCTAAATGTAAGGTGGAAGTAAAGTAATTTGCGTAAACGTGCATGGAAAGATTTAAATATTTGACAATAAGTATTTGTAACCTTTTGTATGAAGTAAAGGTATGAATTAGTTAGTGACGGTGTAATATAATAGATAATGTAGAGGTAAAAGTTCTTGGATATTTCTTTTTTTTTATACGGGGAAATGTTCATATTTGGAAAGGGTATGTACATTTTCGCGATCAGGTAATTTCATATATGCTCTTTTTACCGGGTTTAAAGATTCAGAAAATTGTTATGCATTTTCGTGAAATTTTTCTAATTTATGAGAAAAAAGCAGTGTACATGGATATAGTGAAGAGTGTGTGCAATGCCATTTTTGTGCAATTCTGGGATGTTTTTTTAAGTAAAAATAAGTCGACGTGGGTACATGGTTTAGTGATATTTAATTAAATGACAGTTATTTTGTGAATTTTATGTTTGTAGGAATTTGGTATACGTTTAAGTTGAAGTAAACGTGCATGGAAATAATTTAAATATTTGACACTAAGTATTTGTAATGCTTGTGGTATGAATTCGTTGGTGACGTGTAATAATAATAGATGATTTAGAGGTAAAAGTTTTTGGATATTTTATTTATTTTATATGTGGAAATGTTCATATTTGGAAAGGGTATAAACTTTTTCGCGATCAGGTAATTTCATATATGTTCTTTTACTGGGTTTAAAGATTCAGAAAAATTGTCATGTATTTTCGTGAAATTTTTCTAATTTTATGAAAAAAGCAGTGTACATGGATATAGTGAAGAGTGTGCACAATGCCATTTTTGTGCAATTCTGGGATATTTTTTTTAAGTAAAAATAAGTCGACGTGTACATGGTTTACGTGTATGTGTTATTTTGAAAAACGCGTAAGGAGTATGGTATTGTGCACTTTTTCCCAATTTTGCAGTGAATATTTGTCATGATTAAGCAGTTTTGTTAGATAAAATTTCTAGCATAAGTGTAATTCGGCTAGTAGGTTGTTGGAAGAAGTGTTCAGTAGATAAAAAGAAAAGAAACATGTCTTTACTTCATGAAGACAAAATGGCGGCGGGAAAAAAAAATAGAGGGTTGCTGTAGGAGAGTTGGTCGGCAAATTTTCGCCAAAAAAACGCCAAGTTACCATAACGTAAAGATCAACCGATTTTTCAACATCAACAGGGTTGCCATACAACACGCTATCGTGCCAAAAACCAGCGCAGAACACATATCCCCACATTTGGTGAAATTGGGGCGTGTATGAGAGTTGTACCAATTTTTGATATCCTGATGTCGGAAAATGTCATATTACGACTTTTACATTTTATGTGTATTAATTTTGAATAATCAGTTCCTCTTATTATTAAAAATAACTATTTAATATTTTATAACAGAATTTCATTTAAGATTATGAATTATTAAACCAAATACAAGTTATGTAAATTAAATAATTGGATTTTATTCTTACACTCTGTAAAACATGTATTAAAATTTATTAAAGAAATTTTCTTAAAATCTAATTTGTTTAGTAAAATCAAGTTAAGCACCTTCAGTTTTATCTAGTTCAGATGCTCAACTTTCACAACATATTTTTTTTTTTTTTTTGCTATGCTGCATGTACATGCAAAAACTTTAGTACATGATGAAAAAAAGTACATTGTAAAAAAAAAACAAATAAATAAAAATAAAATCATAACTATTAATATTGAAAAAATGCATCATAACCTACAAAAAGTAATGCATAATGATCTATAAAATGCAATTACAAAGGACAAAAAATTTACTCACTTTTTACCATGTTATAATTTATAAAAATATGCATCATCCAATTTCACTTAAAGTTCAAAATGATGCACCCAATACACAGCAAGTTCCATTGGTAGGTGGGGGGGGGCTTAAAAAATTAGGTGCACCTAGAGATTGATGTCACATCTAATTTTTTTTTAAATACAGAATATGCAGATTTCACTTTTTTGAAAATATTTAATCTATGGTTTTAATAAAAAACAATTCAAATAATTTATTATTTTAAATTAACATTATGTAAGAAATTATTCTTTCAGTACTAATTTTTTAAGTAACATTTTCAAAAAGAGGTATGGTCAATTAAAAAGTATTAGAAAGGCATTTCTAAGACTTTCAATCCATAGCAGTGAGAAGGGATGTATCCACAATGTTTTAGTATTTTTTGATAAAGATAACATTTAAAAAAATGCAGTGAAAAGGCTACCTTTCAAAGCCCTGACTGCTTAGGGCATGCTTTCCCCCCCTCACCTCACTTGGACTGCAAGGAGGGCATCTCAATGTATTCTAAATTCCTCCTGAGAAATAAACACAAACTTGGCAATCTTCGGTTTATTATAACAAGAGCTTTAAAGATAAGAAAGGGCCAAATATTTTTTTCTCAAATTTATGATTAATTACATAATTTTTTCAACAAGAAAATTAGTTAATGTTTCTTAACAACTGCACATAGTTTTCATCTGTTTCTGCATTTATGTCCAGTATTTCCAGCTACATAATGAGAATTACGGAATAAAATGAAATATGTCTACTGTGATTACACAGAATTTATAAAATTTTATAATTTTATTTTAAATTAATCAGTAGTGGCTACAAAATGAAAAATGCATTAAAATTTTCAGTTGCTTTCAACATCTTTTAAAAAAGAAACAGCAACTAACAAACTGCTCGTAGTATTGTTACAAGAATGTGAAATTAATTTATAAGGTATTTCACATTTTTTATTCATCTTTACTGAGTGCACATATTTTTCAATTGCCAGTATATTGTAATTGTTTCTTCTTTTTACCAGTTTCATTTCATTTGAATATACAAAAAACTTATATGCACTAGCAATTAAACAAATTTTCATTTCTTGTTTCCTCAAATGCATTTAAAGGAAAAAAAAAAAAAAAAAAAAGACTGAAGTAATTTCTATCTTTTAACAGAAAACTATACAACAATCTATTTAAATACCCCATTCAAAAACGTTAGCATGAAATATACATTTTTCAGTAATTAAAAAACAAAAATCAAACATGTTCAAAACAATTAAGCTCTAAACATTTACGAAAAAATTTGTTCATATTGAATTAATATTCAGAGAAATTCACCTGCAAAATAAACTATTTACATTTCCTTTTTTACACTCAGGTAAATGAACAAGACTAAGGTTATAAGATAACAAGGAAAGAAAATCCAGAAAAATAGCTACAGTCAAAAGTCGTTAATTCGGACACCCATAATCCGGACCTCAAAGCTACAAACTTTCTAGGCATTTACGAGTGCGCGTAAGATCTTTACGGCTGCGAATATGGGTGTGCGCATGCGCGTTTAATGTGTAACGGACAGTATATGCTAAAAATTATCTAATTCAGTTAATGTTGCAGATTGCGTTGTTCCTTAATCTTCGAATGGATCCGGTTTAATATTTTTTGCAGACTGTTAGAGCAATTTTATAAAAGTAAGCTTAACTTTCGATTATGTCAAATAGAATTTCCGATATATATTTACTAATATGTAAAGGATCTACAAAGCGAAAGTATGTTTCGAAATCCGAAATCTGTTTATCAATTTCACGCCGCGGCGCGCAATGAATTGAAGTTGATCTGTCAGCACTATCCTTATCTTCAGGGCAGATGTTTTTATTTTACTTGGCTTATAATTCCTTACTAAATGTAGTATTTCATCTCGATGTACTCCGTCTTTGATATGATTTAAATCAAGTTCCTCGTCATTATAATTCGCTTCCGATAGTGAAGAAAGTGACCCAGAGGTTATTGAAAACGAAAAAATTTCCATTGACAAATTAATCGGTATTCTCAACACAGCAATTATAGGACTTGAACAGCGGAACTTTGTAACTAAACAAGAAATTATGTCTGTTAAATAGAATTAAAGAGAAAGTATTATCACATGAAACGAAGCAACTTAAACAACTTACATTGAAAGAAATGTTTAATAAAGTAAACAAATAAATATTAAGCTTTTTCTTTTTGTAAATTATGATACCCATGAGATCATAATTGTTCTTCATTTCATAAATTACGGTTTCATATTTTTAATTTTGTAATTTCTACATGCCATCTTACCAGATTTAAACTGATGATCTATAATCTGGAAAAATCGATAATCCGGAATCGTTTAAGTCCCGACGAGTCCGGATTAACGACTTTTGACTGTATTTTAATTATTTAAAACTGAATTGGTGACACTTAATGACAGAATATAGCAATCTAGGAATTAATTAGATAATCACAAAAGGAATCACTAATCAAGAAATGACAATAATAAAGAAATAACAAAAAGTTGAAATACTTACTGTAAATTCAGATGATTTGTCAACAGTTGCATTCTTTTGAGATTCTAGTGAGGAAAAATATGGATATATACAATGAAAGGTTCCACTGTTTAGTGTTCCAGTTTAGTAAATAAAGGGAAAACAGAATATACTTACAGTTTCAGAATTGTCAAGGGCATATTCTTGCAAAGCAAAATTACGTGCAGTGTGCATTAGCGTCTACAAAGAACGAAAGGCAGTTTTAATTAGGAATTAGCAATAGTATTAATACCAAATGAATGGACACATTTCAAGAAATGACAATTTATAAAAAAATTACTTAACATATTCAGATCGTTATGAATCCATGAATCAAAATATTTAATAGAAACAAACCTCATTAGACTTCGAACCACGAACTATCTGTTTCGCTAAAGTTCCAGTGCCTATTACGTTTACTTGAATTCTGTCTGATAAACGAGCTTTAGATTCAGTGAACAAATTCCTTGCACTAGATGCTGATGTAGGGGCACTCATCTTAAAATATGTACTTTAATAATTACGTCAAACTATATCTACATGTACGAAATTCCGTCAAACTTTCCTGTTTACATCCAACATGGATTTCTTTCCTAAATTTAGATGTTTGCCTCCTGGACAATATTTATTCCTAAATATTTGATTAATTCTGTTATAAAATTCAAATTAATCTATAAATTAAAGGATTAAAATAGATATCTGTGAAAAATTTACAATACCAAGAAATGTATATAGATAGAATTGCCTGTGATAGAACAAGTAATAGAACAATCTTTAACCCATAGTGGAGTAAGATCATAACTTATTTTATTTGTAACAAGGAATAATACTACTCAACATTTGCGCAGTATCACGAGTTCTTCTTAGCAGACGTGCCTATGTTTACAGTTTCTGAAATATTTGGCGGGATTTTGATGTTGCAGATAAAGCTAGAAGCAGGCGGTCGTCATGCCGTTTTATTAGATTTAAAATAGTATTTTATTATTCATATTTTCGAATCGTAAGATGTAGATATGTTTCTATTTTTTAACGTTCCGTTTCTTAACTCCATTTAGTTCATGAGTTGCTTCATATGAAAGAACGCAAAAAATATATCTTTGTTTAAAATATTAGATCTTTAATAATGAAAGGTATTATAATGTTTGATAATTTAAATGATTTGACATTTTTCGATGTTGATGAAGAATTATCACAACATGTACAATATTTAGCGTCGAAAGATGGATTGTTAGAGGTAGTATTTCAAGAATATTTGTTCTTTTCCCATGTATATATATTTCTGTTGAAAATCCTAGTAAAATTCTTTTCTTTAGATGCTTTTTATATGTTGATGCATAAAATGTAATGATATATGTATGCATAAAATGTGATATATGTATGCACATATGTGTAATGATATGTGTGCGAGTAGATATGTGTATGTATAAAAAGTAAAAAATATTCTTCATCTTGAATTCATATCCTGCTTCCATTTTACGCAAATGTAGCAGCATTAATTAGAGACTTTTTTAAAAAATTATGTATAATTTTTGTTAGATAATTAGGAAATAAGTCTAAGAAATTGTCAATTTTATCAAATACAAAAAATGACCTTATCTTACTTAAAAAATTCAAAATGTTGTCAAATAGGATCATATTTTTTTATTGTTATATCATTTTCCTGTTTGACTTTGTGTTTGAAAATTGCACCTTAATGAAAAATTTAAAATAAAATGAGATCCTTTTTTAGTAGGTAAATTATTTTTCCAAAGTATGTAAATGCCTTTTTGCATTTAAGCAGGAATATGATTTGGGGAGAAATTTTTTTGGGAAGCTGCTTACTGTTTATGTTAAACATCATGAAAATCATAAAAATAGTAAGTGCGCTTTTTGATTTCCCCTTCTCACATATTTCCTCCCGACCTTATTTAAGGAACTTCTGATTTACTCACATAGCACTCAAACTTTTATCTGAACTTCTTTCTTTAAGAAGTAGTTTTTATAATGATTTTTCTGAAGATTGCTAAGCATATGCCAAGAGAAAAATTTTCATAATGGTATACCTCATAAAATGTGCTGGTCCCCTTGTGAAGGTTGGTATAAACTAAATCAAACAAATTATATTTTTGCCTTAAAACCATTATTGCAGAATGACACTTACATGTATTTTAAGTAGTAATAGTATGATTAAACTTAGTGGTGCTACAGATAACTGCAAGCATTCGACTATGGTATAGTTCTATGCATTTACTATTGGTATAGTTCAGTGTTTGTCTGTGTTTGCTTGCACCCATAGGCATAGCCAGGGAGTTGCAGGGAGGGGCCCTTGCATCCCCTAAGTGAATGCAACTTTTTTTTTTTTTTTTTTGAACTAACAAGTTAGGGAAAAGTTTTCTCTGTTTCTTATTCTTTAAGTCCCCTCCCCTTGGGTCTTCTGTAGAATCTCTTAGCCGAACGACTTTAATCTTTTCCCAGCTACAAATATTTTCACAGTCAGTCATACATGTGTCGGGACATCCTTTTGCTTACATCACCTTAAACAATATAAATAAGTAATGAATGTCTGGTTGTAATTCCATGATTTTCCTATAAACAAGCGTTCCCCTTTGTTCAGCCTAAGTATAATTTTTAGTACCATGGGGGCTAATGAGAGGCTTCTTTGTGACGATGACATTGACAAGTTCCAGCTCTCTATCTTTGGTTAATGACAAAGGGAAAGAAAATTGTTGCAAAACTCTTTCTTGATTCAAGTCATTATAGTGTTTTAAATTTGACAAAATGCTTAGTGGTAATTAAAGAAATGAACGTATAATAATTCATTTAATCTGTTCGAAAAACACTTGCACATGGATCAAGGAAGTTTAAAGTTTCGGAGTACTTAGACACGAAGCCTTTACCTGCATATCATCAATGTATTAAAATTATCATCAAAAGAGGGTTTCATCAAATAAGGTAAAAATTTTGAAAAGACAAAAATAAAAGCTTTAAAGAAAAATTGCCTTTGCACTGAGTGAAAACATAAAAACTCGGAAAGTTGTATAAATTAAAATTTTTGCATCAAAAAAATTAAAAACCAGAATAATTTTGATGGAGAGATCAATGTCGAATAGTTCTCAAAAGAATAATAAAAGAGATACATTTCCTTGAACCTTCATAATCCTACTGTGTGATTGTCAACAACGTGGAGAGGAAACACCTGCGGAGATCAGTTGAATGACCTCGCGAATGAATGCTTCAGAGTTGGGAGAGGGGAATCGCTTATGAGTCGCAACTTGCACATGGGGTTTAAAGCTTTATGACAATAAATCAGAATTAAAAAAAAGGATCATATTAGCCATGCAAATCACTGATCCCTTCTCACATCTCTACTTATGATTTTGCCCCTGCATAGTCTGTTGTTTTCTGTAGAGGAAAAATTTATTAGTGTTACGTATTAGATTAGTGTTCTTTGCACTTGTTTTTCAATCTATGATAAACTTTTACGATTCATAATAGCTAGCATATGTATTGACTTTTTGCTGCTATAAATATAAGAAAGATGGATAATATAAATAAGAAGCAAAAACTTAATTGTAATTGTACAATTAAGTTTTTGCATCTTATTTCTATCTGTAACCAGAGTTTGAGTAACCCACAAGACATCTTAGGTATTGCTTAATATCATTCAGAACAAATGCCTCTTTATTCATACAGAAACAAAAGCCGAGATATGAGGAGTTGAAGCAAGATTTACTAGAACCCATGCAGCAGTTAGGCCATTTTTTGATTTATTATTTGATAATCTAAAAATTCAGGCTCATTTCATAAGCTGTGGTGACTTATAATAAATAAAAACTGAGCTTAAATCAGAATAGTCACATAACTTTTAGTATAAATTTAGACTATTTTGGTATAAATTTATACTACCGAAGGCATCCCGATGAAATTAATATACTTGGGAAAAATAATTTAATGCAAAGACGTTTATTGAATTAAATGCATGCACATGACTTTTCAATTTGTAGCGAATGCCAAAGTTACATGTAACAAAAATTAAAGACTTTTCTCCCTCCATGTATGGGGCAAGGGGAGTTACAACAATTGTACAATTAATTTTATTTTTTGAAAAAGATGGATGTTTCAAATATTTTTTTTCTTATCATTATCATCAAAGAAAAGTTGGTTAGAGTAGACTGAAGGGTATCCCTTGTATTATTGCAAAGATGGGTTGATCTTTGGATTATGGTAACTTGGCGATTTTTTGGCGAAAATTTGGCGACCAACTCTGCTACAGCCACCCTCTATTTTTTTTTCGCCGCCATTTTGTCTTCACGAAGTAAAGACATGTTTCTTTTCTTTTTATTTACTCAACACCTTTTTCCAACAACCTACTAGCCGAATTACACTTATGCTAGAAATTTTATGTAACAAAACTGCTTAATCATGACAAATATTAACTGCAAAATTAGGAAAAAGTGCACAATCGCAAACTCCTTGCACGTTTTTCAGAATAGCATATACACATAAACCCATATTACACTAACACTTCCGACTTATTTTTTACTTAAAAAAACATCCCAGAATTGCACAAAAATGGCATTGCACACACTCTTAACTTTTATCCATCTACGCTGCTATTTTCTCATAAATTACAAAAATTTGCACAAAAATGCAGGAAAATTTCTGAATCTTTAAACTCGGTAAAAAACACGTATATGAAATTACCTGATTGCGAAAAAGTATATACCCTTTCCAAGGATGAACATTTCCACGTATAAAATAAATAAAATATCCAAAAACTTTTACCTCTAAATTATCTATTACAGTCAAAAGTCGTTAATTCGTACACCCATAATCCGGAATGATCTATAATCTGGACCTCAAAGCTACAAACTTTCTGCACATGCGTCGCATTCATGCATGCGCGCAGGCGTTTATGAGAGCGCGTAAGACCTTTATGGCTGCTAATATGTTTGTGCGCATGCGCATTTAATGTGTAACGGAGGTATAAGCTGAGCTAAAATTATCTAATTCAGTTAATGTTGCAGATTGCGTTGTTCCTTAATCTTCGAATTGGATCCGGCTTATTATTTTTTGCAGACTGTTAGAGCAATTTCATAAAAGTAAGCTTGAACTTTTGATAATGTCAAATAGAATTTTCGATATATATTTACTAATATGTAATTTGTATCTACAAAGCGAAAGTATGTTTTGAAATCCGAAATCTGTTTATCAATTTCACACCCAGGATTGGAAGTTGATCTGTCAGCACTATCCTTATCTTCAGGGCAGATCGGGCAGATTTTTATTTTATTTGGCTTATAATTTCCTTACTAAGTGTAGTATTTTATCTCGATGTACTCGGTCTTTGATATGATTTAAATCAAGTTCCTCTTGATTATAATTCGCTTCCGATAGTGAAGAAAGTGACCCAGAGGTTATTGAAAACGAAAACATTTCGATTGACAAATAAGTCAGTATTCTCGGCACAGCAATTATGGGACTTGAACAGCGGAACTTTGTAACCAAACAAGAAATTATGTCTGTTTATAGAACTAAAGAGAATGTATTATCACAGAAAACGAAGCAACTTAAACAAACTTACATTGAAAGAAATGTTTTTAATAAAGTAAACAAATAAATATTAAGTTTTTTTTTTTTTTTTTTTTTTTTTTTTTTTGTAAATTTTGATTACCCTTTAGATCATAATTGTTCTTTATTTCATAAATTACGGTTTGATATTTTTAATTTTATAATTTCTGCATGCCATCTTACCAGATTTAAACTGATGATCTTTAATCCAGAAAAATCGATAATCCAGAATCGCCGAAGTCCCGACGAGTCCGGATTAACGACTTTTGACTGTATATTATAAATGTCACCAACGAATTTCTACCGCAAATATTAAAAATGGTTACAAATACTTAGTGTCAAATATTTAAAATATTTCCATGCACGTTTACTTAAACTGAAACGTATACCAAATTGCTACAAACATAAAATTCACAAAATAACTATCATTTAATTAAAATATAACTAAGCCATGTACACATCGACTTATTTTTACTTAAAAAAACATCCCAGAATTGCACAAAAATGGCATAGCGCACACTCTTCACTATATCCACGTACACTGCTTTTTTTCTCATAAATTAGATAAAATTCACGAAAATGCATGAAAATTTTCTGAATCTTTAAACCCGGTAAAAAGAACATATATGAAATTACCTGATCACGAAAAAGTGTATGCCCTTTCCAAGGATGAACATTTCCACA